AAAAGTTGGGCTTATCACTTCAGCTGTTTCCAAATTCTTCTTCCTCCAAGAGCATGGATTATTATTTATCTAAAATGCATAACTTCCAAAGGGTTCATGCTGTGGGGTTCAGGTACACACGTGTCAATTCTCCACCTGGACACCTGGGACGTGACATAACCATATTAAAGAGCACACACCGAGGTCAAGAAACAGAGCCTGCACCAGCGTACCATACCCACATCCTGAACAATACGTTTTCTTAAAAACCACTCACGAATCTAGGTTGTTCCAACCAGAAGAAAAAAAGCCAAGCCCGTCCACAAAATGTCCTCCCAACCACCGTGCCCAAATCCACAGCCTGAGTGAAGGCCTTAAATAGTTAAATAAATGTAAACCAGGAGTTTCTCTCCAGAAAAAGATGAAAAGACGTTTCAGACTGCCCCACAGCGCTCTCACGTGAGGAGAGACAGTCTTTCATTTAAAGTTCTGGAGCGGCTTCACCGCTGTCCCATATGGGGTCTTTAAAAAGAGTTCAAATCCCACAGCTTAACTTGCTTAAGGAAGTCCGGGGCACAAAAGGAAGCCTCCGGCCTCGGGAGACCAAGAAACCTGCAAGGCAGGTAGGCAGAACCGAGCTCTCGGGTACAAATGCCCACCCACTCCCAGTTGCATTCGTTTCCCAAAATTCTCGCCTTTGGAAAAGTTCAAACAAGGACTAGAAACGCAAGACATTCCCTTCCCCTCGATTACGGGTCCTTTCCGTCCTTCCTCCGCGGCCACCTGTGGGGAGGGTCCGGCAGGTGGGGCGGCCTCCCCAGGGCCCGGACCTTCTGGAGACCCCGAGGTGCCGCCAGGACGACACAGAGCTGCGCCGGAGCGCACGGGGCCCCGGAGGGCGCTGCCCGTGACAGCGGCGCTGGCCCGCGAGGCCCCTCGGGTGGCGTGCCCTCTGCGGGGCCGGCCGCGGCCGCCACTCCGGCTGACCAGGAGGCGCTCCCTCCCCGCCCGGCGCCGCCTCCCCCGCCCGCCTGGAGCCTCCGCCGGGGCGCACGGGGCCTCGGGCCGCCGCCGCCGCGCTCCCAGCTCGGACCCCGGTTGGCCCCGCGCTGTCCCCCATCCCGAGCTCCCGGTCACTCACCCCGGGGCCGGGCAGCAGCAGCGCCAGTAGCAGCAGCAGCCGGGCCGGCATGGCGAGGACTCGGCTCTGGCTCCGGGCCCGGCCAGCAGGCGCGAGGGGCGGAGCGGGCAGGCGGGCGGAGGACCCGGCGGAGGCGCCGCGACGACAGCGCAGCGGCGGCCGGGATTCAGCGGGCGCAGAGCTGACTAGGCAGTGGTGGCACCCCCCATTCCCCGCACTATAAGCGCCGGGTGCCGGGGCTTCTTCCGGTCGGGGCGGGGCTGGGGGCGGGGCCTGTCCTGGGAGGGGCCGAGACTGGGCGGGGGCCGGGCTCGGGGGCGGGCCCGGGGCGGGGCTATCGCGGAGGGGCGGGGCCGAGGTCCGCACTGGCCTCCAGTTGGCCCCGGGTCATCCGGCCGCCGCTCCTAGAGAGAAGGCCCAGGCCTTGGCGTGCGGCGTCTAGGGGCGCTGAGCGGTCTTGGCAAGAAGCTTGTCCGATGGCTGAGGGAGGCCGGCCACCCCCTACGCGGTCCCGCTAACCTCGCCGAGGGACCTGCTGCGTGAGACTTGATCAGGGAGAGGCTAGGAGACGGGCGTGCCGGGTGTCCAGAGCCCCCGCTTCGTCTTCTCACCGTGATGGAACCGTCGGGGACCTCCAGAGGGAGAGTCAGGAGCCGGCTGGAGTTCCAGCAAACGCGGCGCTTCTGCCCTGCGCGCGGCAGTCCCCTAGTTCACACCCGCGGTCCTCCAGCCACGCCTCAGCTAGTCTGAAGGCCCCCTTTCTTGCCTTTCTTTGTCCTCAGGAATTCCTCTCAAATCATGTCCAACAGCCATCGATTCCCTTTAGAATAAACTGTGGCCAAGTAATTTGTAAAAAATTATAAGAAGGGGCCGGCTCCCTGGCCCAGTGGTTAAGTTCGCGCGCTCCGCTGCTGGCGGCCCAGGGTTCGGATCCTGGGCGCGGACATGGCGCCGCTCGTCAGGCCACGTTGAGGCGGCTTCCCACATCCCACAACTAGAAGGACATGCAACTAAGATATACAACTGTGTACGTGGGGGAGTTTGGGGAGATAAAGCAGAAAAAAAAATTATAAGCAAAGAAGGAAACCAATTCGGCTGCTTGTGTCGTGGTTTATGTGGCATTTGCAGATGTGACCTCATGAAGCTTGAGATGACATGTGTCACAACTCATCGGAAGGAGTCGGTGTGTTGAGGACTCATTCAAGGTCTATTTGAAGACTATGGGCTATTAACCTGAATTAAAGAGCCTGGCAGCTGTTTGGTCTCTGGCTCCCATGCTGCCCTCCACTTAGATGAAAGGGAGGAGAGAGGACCTATTGTTTGCAACAAGATAGACTAAGATTCGGAAGCACAACATTTACATATCCTAGGAGAAAAAGAAAAAAGGGCTTGCAACTTCTCTCATTTTTCCTGACTTTCTCATAGGACAGCCTAAGATTTTTCAGGATGTGGGCGGAAGGAGTAAGCAATTCGAGAGAAAACAGCAAAGAAGTAGTCGGGGACTGACCAAAGGTCTGCTCTGTGTCCACCGTGAATCAATCCTATCCAACTCTAATAGACAGAAATGCTCATAGTAAGCCAAATTTCCAGAAAGAAACTTCCCCAGTCCCAGCCCCTAATGCCTGGATCATGGTCAAGGGACTAACCCCCACCAGTGCTGGAGGATCCAACACACAGGTTTAAGAGTGGGATGAACCTCAGCAACCGTGAAGGTGGTAGACACATTTTGAAGTGTTATCTGCGTGTCTACATGCAAACAGAGAGGTTTGGGATTGGTGGGAAGATGTGTGGAAACAGGCTCTGTCACTCCTGAGCAGTGTAGCCAGGTGTCAGGGAGGAGCCTGTTGCACAGAACCTGGGAGGAGCTCTTTAATGATTACCTGTCCAGCTCGCAAACCGACAACAGGATCTGTAAGACCGCATGTTTGAGTTAAAAGAAGCTTGACTGGAAAATGCCACTTTCACATCCCTTCTCTGGTGCTTTTTATCAAACACAGTAAGTCAAGGAGGGGAACTTTCTGTGCTGGAACTCTGGCAGCCCTTTGACAATTCAGAATGTCACTGTGACCCTGTAAGCACAGCAGATGAAACACAAAGGGGAATGCTTACCTCAGTTTGACTCATAAATCAGTTTTAAAGATACAATAAAGAAAAAAAAAATCAGTTCCAAGGGGCCTCGGCCAGGTAGGTATATTACTCTGTACTCAGTTGGACCAAATCCCCAAGCCTTAACTGCACTGTTGTATGTTCTCGGAATTTCGTATGCCCCAGTTAGATTGTTCTCACCCTTGATCAGTTCACATGTTTTATGCACTTCATTTGATTGGCAACTCGTACTGATAAACTCTGGCTTTATTCATGGCAGCATTTCCCATAATCTTGCTCCACAGTCAACTACTGTTTTAGGCAGCTTTTTGCTGATGATAAAGCAAAAGTTAGCATCACTGATAAATACAAACAGAAACGGAAATATTTTGTAGGGTGCCTTTAAAGTGGACGTGCCCATATAAAAGACCTGAAAATGGGCAGTAAATGACCTTTCTAGGAATTGCATTCAATAGCATCCACCAAACAAGGCAAAGGTCATGGTCTTTCTGTAAAGATAAGCCCTCTTTTTCCACTAAGGTAAAAAAAAAAAAAAAAAATAGAAAAAATATATATATACAGGATTCAACAAAGAGAGCAGCAGAGCCTGAATATGTCCGGGAGGGGGGGGGGGCAGGGAGAAAGTTAACAAATCTTATTTTCACTTCTCTCTAAACCAGTAGTTCCTAAACTTTGAGAGCTTTTAAAAAACAGATTTCCACCACCTCTTTGTGCCCTCTTCCCCTGCTGATTCAGAATCTCCAGGGGTGGAGCCCAGAGACTCTCTTCCAGTTTCCGCAGGTGACTAAGGGCAGCCAAGCCCTGGGCTCCAGCTCTCTCCTAATGTCCGGCGTTAATCCGTGTCACCATGAATCCTTTTTATTTATTTTAGCAAATGTCGCCCTCTAGTGGAAGAAATTCTGTGTGTGCCTATTTCATTTCTCCTTAAAACCCTGCAAAATTTCATTTAAAAATGATGATGGGCTTAGTTTCCAGATAGTTATTTAGTGAGAAGGAAGTTCCCTTTGAGGAGACGGGAAAGGAAAAGCTGGTAAAACCAGAAAGGGAGGTCACAGTTGAAAGCTCCAGGAACGTCTCAAAGGAACAGTGTCTATCAGAATAAGTCGCCTCTGACTTTTTTTGGTGATCTTGGTGCTGCAGCTGCTGCTTCCAAACGGACTTGAACTTAGTTACAACACATGTGGGGGGTAGTTATGGGATAAATGAAACGATGAGGCAAGAATCTCTGGTAGCAAGCTCAATTTTTATCTCCTTCGTGTCCTGATGTTTAAGGGAAATTTTTAAAAAGCTGCTGCCCCTGTGAGCAGTTTGGTTCTGAGGCAAATAGAACGTTGGCTCTTCCTGTTCTGAGAGGACTGGATTTGAAGCGATTGTGACACTCATTCTGAAGAACTTCTCTTTACCACAGAATCCAACCTACTACACGCATTCTTGTATGGCAAAAGTGAGTCTTTCCTATTGTCGCCGTTAATAGTTATCGGCTGTTCGCTATTGTTTGGAAATGTGCAGATACACACTTTATGGAATCATCTCCTATTATCTGCACAGCAGTTCTTTGAGGTATGTGTTTTTTTGTTTGTTTGTTTGTTTGTTTTGTTTGAGGAAGATTAGCCTCGAGCTAACATCTGCTGCCGATCCTCCTCTTTTTGCTCAGGAAGACTGGCCCTGAGCTAACATCGTGCCCATCTTCCTCTACTTTCTATGTGGGACACCTACCACAGCATGGCTTGCCACGCGGTGCCATGTTCACACCCGGGATCCGAACCGGTGAACCCTGGGCCACCGAAGCGGAACGTGCACACTTATCCGCTGCGCCACCAGGCTTGCCCCATGAGGTATGTGTTATTAGCCCCATTCTACAGAAGACACATTGAGATTTTAAAAGGTTAACAGCCCAGAGGGTAACAAATGGCTAGTAAGAGGCACAACCTGGATAGAACACAGCTATCTACATAACTTTAGAGCTTGTCTGGTCAACCCCAGTTGCTACAACATTTTCCACCATTAGCTGGTTGTTATTCTTGCCCCTGCCCACAGCATCATGACACGGCATCATTATGTGACCTGTAGATGCAGTTAAGCAGGAGCCCAGATTGGCATGTTCCTGGAATACTAACAACAACCAGAAGTTTGTACAAATATGTAGTGATGAAGGGGCATTGCCTCAAATAACATGTAAGTCTCCTGATCTCATCTGGGGGTTGTGCAAAAGGATGTAAGGAACAGAGCAGCCATCTGGGAGAGAAGACCGAGCTTTCTCCTGGGGTTTCTGCCCTGGGAGGTAGCTCAGTCTAATCCTGACAGATTATTTGTTCGCTTGCCTCTGAGCTGTTGTATTTCACACCCATTTGTGCCATGTCTACATGCCACCATGGTGAAGTGTCCACAGTGTCACTAGTTTATCATATATTAATATTCTCAAAGGGCCAACACAGCACCAGTGTGGAAATGGCCATCCTTTCCAAGTGCCTCCACTTCCTCAACAGCCAGTCCCTCCTAATCCCCTGGGGTCTGGCTTTTTTCCACAGAACTCTCTGGAAACTTCTCTCAAGCAGCTCATAAACATCCTTCCTCTTGTAAAATCCCCGTGGCCATGCCTCATCGTTTTTTGTCCAGGGTCTCTCTTCAGTTCAGGTACGTTAATGCTTCTTTTTTCTCGAACTTTTCCTCCTTGGGTATTACCATTTTCTGTCTTTCTTCCTGTCTCTCTGCTCATTTTCCTCCTTCTGGACTGTTTTCAAGGCTTCATATGTAGACCTTACCTTTTCTCTCTCTCTCTCCTTTTCAGCTGGGACAGCTCATTCACAGATGTAACAAAGTTTTAGAGCAGAAAAGAACTTTAGCTATAATTTTGTCAGCTTCATTTTGCAGATGACTTCGTCTCTGACCTCTGCATGGATAATTACCACTCATTCATTCATTTATTCATTCATTCTTTTAACTAATATCATTGAGGCCTTCTGAGTGCAAAGGATTGGTACCATGAGGGAATATCAGAGTTTGCAACTTGGGAAAGGTGATAGAACATACACAGAAATAACCACCGTACAAGGCTGACTGTGAAAAGTACAAGAGAATAGGCGAGAATAAACTCAGAAACAGAATTAGGATGTTCAAGAGAGAGATGGGTCTGGTGGAAGGAAGGGGATGGGATGGAGAGAGCAAGGAGGGCTTCAAGGAAGAAGTGGTGTCTGTGCTAGGCCTTTTGTCAGATTTGACAGGGGAAAGGATATTCTAGGGGGAGACGAGGAGCTGAACAAAGACCTGGGGAAAGGAAAGCACTGCGTGGCTTTATGGGAGCCCAAGCTAAGTCATCAGTGAGCCCTTTCTTGGTTTCTGCTCAGAGGAGCAGTGGGAGGTGAGGCTGGGAGGGAAGGCAGGAGGCACCGGCAGGGCAGGGCCACTAAAGTCAGGCTGGGCTTCTCTGGTAGGCAACAGAGTGAGACAGGACTGAAGTGCTTCGGGGGAGAGTTAGGGGAAAAGGCAGGTATTTGAGAGACCATTAGGAGACTGTTAACAAGGGCTATTTTGGTCTTAATCTAGAGCAAGGAGAGGAAGGAGGAAATAGGATAGATACCAGAGACCCTGCCAAGGCAGAATGGAAAGCATTTGGCTGGTGCAGTTACACAAACAAGAAGACTGAGAAGAAGGAACTCAACAATAGTTTATCAGACATTTATCGTGTTCAAGGGGCTGTTCCCACTGTTGGGACCACAGAGGGAGCAAGCGAACAGGAATTGGGGCCAGCCTTGCAAGAGCAGCAGACATGCTAGATGGTCTGGACAGACCTGTTGACTGTCCGCTAATGGGCACTTACCCAAGCTGGGCCAATCATATTACTCTATTGTAGTAGCTAGTTTCCAAAGATGGCCCCAAACAATACCTCCCTATATGCACATGCCCCTCTTCTCATCCATAGGGAGAGATTATTTCCTCTCCCTTTGAATGTGGGCTGGTTCTGTGACTGGTTTTAACAAGAAGTGACATTCAGGGACTTCCTAGCCCAGGTTTAAGAGGCCTAGCATCTTCCATTTCCCTCTTAGAATACTTGTTCTTGTGGGGCTTCCTCTTGGAACCTAGCTGCCAGGTTGGGAGAAGCCCAAGCCACACACAGGCTATATGGAGGAGAATGGAGTGGCTCTAATTAACAGCTCCAGCTGTCTACCACTTGGGTGAACCATCTTGGATGTTCCAGCCCAATCAAGCCCTGAGGTGACCTCAGCTGACACCACATGGAGCCAAAGAACCTCCCGGCTGAGCCTAGTTAACTCACAGAATTGTGAGATATAATAAAATAGCTGTTGTTTTAAACCACTGAGTTATGGAGTAGATTGTTGTGCAGTAATAGATAACCCAAACAGCTACCTATCTGGCCACCTTTACTTGACCCATAGATAAGCTTGTACCCAATCTGACCCCAACTAGAGCCATGAAAAGAGACTCATTTCCTTTCTAGTGGCAAAGCTAGGGGGTGTGAGGCCCAGGAGCTGCCTCCACCCTATAAAGAAAGCCAATAAAAAGGAAAAAAGTTGACAAGAGAAGCACAGAGGCAGTCAGGGAGTCCTGGACAAACTTGAGCTCTGAGTCCACTTGGCTTGAGATCAGCCTGCCCAGCTCTCCTTTCCCTGTTTAACCAAACCTTCCCCTATTTACCCCAGCTAGTTTGAGTCGGTTTCTGTCACTTACAGCCAATAAACCCTGATTCAAATGCTGGCTCAGCATTTCTAAGAGAACTAAATTGACACTGTATATGACTACACCCGGCCCATGGCCAACCCTCAGTGTAGTTTTCTTTCTCCTTTTCTCTTCCCAACTCACACCTGCACCCTGCAGAAGGCTCTGTGGTTGAAGGGCGGATGAAAGAGGGATACCAAGTATATAAAATGTAGGTTTCTTTTTAACCCCCAACTACATCGTAGATTACTTGAGAACAGGGACTGTCTTATTCATATTCATATTTCCAGTGCCCAGAACAGGATCAAGCATGGAAGAGGAAATTTTAAAATGTTTTTTGAAAGCACAAGTGAATGAGGTGCTACACCTTTTTCTGAGACAGGAGAGAAGGATGTTATGTTGAGGCAGAGAAGAAGGAAGTTGAGAGAAATCATATGGGATGATTTGGGTCCCTTCCAGTCTTGGCTCTTCATGCTTCCACACATCACCTTCCTCCACCCATATACACCCAAGGCAGCATACAAGCAAGTCTCAATGCTGGCTGGACAATCGTTTTAGACTTTTCCCATCTTTCCTCCTGACATGCTCCTCCCAATGTTCTCTGTTTTCTTTCATCGTCCCTCCTGACATGCTTGTATTCCTCTCACTTCCCAGGAACCCCGTTCCGCACTTCAGGTCCCTCCAAACTCGATGTTCTTCTTGACTCTGCTCCTAGGGCCTCAGATCTTGGCTCTTCTGCACAATTTTTGGTTTGATGTACTGTTCTGGGTTAGGACTCCCCACTGCCCCTCCTTCTCCAGGTCCCTTGGTTCACTGGGTGATTCATGGGGAGGGGTTTTAGTAACTCTCCCTCAAGACTGAAGTGTACAGATGTGAACGTTGGATGAACCCAACCTTTGCAGGTAACAGGGAATAGTTTTGAGTAAAACAAAGGGTGGCCTTTGGGAGGTTGCATGATATAGTGATCAAGAGCATAAGCTTTGAAATCAAGGTGCTATGATTTCAAATCCCAGCTCTGCTTGGCCATTTATTAATTGTGTAAATGTAAACAAATTAATCTCCTTTGAGCCTTGGTTCTCTGATTGTTCTGAGAATTAGAGCTAAAAAACAGAAATAGTATTACCTACCTTTCAGGGCTGTCCTGAGAATTAGAGCTCAAATATGTGAAGTACCTTATCTGGCAGGCACTCTACAACTGGTAACTCACGCTATTGTTGGTGGGAAGATAAATCTGAACTGTGGACTGTCACAAGGAGCTTGAACTCCATCAGCCTATGTCACTCTCGTGCTTAAAACCTACCAATGACTTCCTTTGCTCTTAGAGAATCCAGGACCTTTATTATGACTCATAAGGCCCCGTGTTCATGGCCACTGCATACCTCGTCGGCCTCATTCATTCCACACTTCCCTCATTCTTCATACTCTAGCGTAGTCATCTTCTTTTGGTTCCAGAAGGCGCCATGCTCCTCCCCACCTCGAGGCTTCCTACATCTAAGAAGGGGCTAAGTCTGTGTGTGTGTGCAGGGATGGGAGCGTTGTGTAGGGGAAATAAAGGCAGATGAAGTACCTTACTGCTGCAGTGTCCCAGATTGTTGCTTTGTTCTTAACTGTGAAAATTAGAAAAACGTACCCTTGAAAATAAACCGTGTGGTGGATACATGTGCTTGCTTTCTTAGCCTCCTTTTTTCTTATTCCCATATCCTAAGAGCCCCTGATTGCCATGTGGACCCCCGTGTTGTTTATATGTGATTATCACCACCTCCAGCACCAGGAAGGACCCAGAATGAGTAAACCAATCAGCATTTTCTATCTCTTTGGCCATGGGTTCAGGAGTGAGCCCACAAATTTAAAAAGCTTCAGTGGGAATGCATCTAAGGGAACATGGCGCCTAGGAGCTGTTGGAGCTGCCTTTAGGATGAGGCTGACACCACAGATGGCTGCAGGGTGATGGGGCAAGCCTTGCCTGGAGCCTGGCTCCTCTGTGTTTTTAAGTTGTGTAAGCCAATAAGCTACTTTATGACTTAAACCAATTTGAGATGAGTTTTCTGTTACTTATAATAAAAAGCCTTATGAAATTATATAAATATATATAGTATTCTACATAGTTTTTAACCCTAGAGATAACCTTAGAGAATTTTAAAAGGTTGCCTGATTGCAAATCACTACACAAGATGAAACAAAACAAAGTCTACATAGGAAATTATGAAAATCAAGGGGAACTTCCCAATTAAAAAGCAAATAACAAAGAGAAATGAAAATTTACATCCTGATTGCAACCTCATGAGAGACCCTGAGCCAGAATTATCTAGATAAGTCATTCCCTATTTTTCTCACCCACAGAAACTGTAAGATAATAAATCTTTGTTGTTTTAAACCACTAGGCTTCAGGGTAATTTGTTATGCAGCAATAAATAATTAATACGTACACAAAATAAATTTAAAAGGATCAAAATCATACAGAGTATATTCTCTGACCACAACAGAATTAAACTAGATACTAATAACAAAAAGATATCTGGAAAATTGCTAACTATTTGGAAATTAAACATCACCCTAAGTAACCCATGGGTAAAAGAGAAGAAATCACAAGGGAAATAAGAAAATATTTTGAACTGAATGTTAACGAAAACACAACATAAGATGTGGGATGCCTCTAAAGCAGTCTTTTGAGAGAAAATTATAGTTTTAAATGACTTATATTAGAAAAGAAAGATCTCAAATGAATGTTCTAAGCATCACATCCACTTAGAAACTAGAAGAACTAATTGGACTCAAAGTAAGTGGAAAAAAAGAAATAATAAGTGGAAATCAATTTAAAAACAGAATATCAATGAAGCTAAAAATTGACAAATCCTAGCTAGACTGATCAAGGAGAAAAAAACTCAAATTATCAATATCAAGAATGAAAGAGGGGCCATCATAAGAGATCCTACAGATATTGAAAGGATAATAATATTATAAATAACTTTGTGCCAAAAAACTCAACAACTTAGGTAACATGGATAAATTTCTTAAAAGATATAAATTATTAAAACTGACACAAGAAAAAATACAAAATCTTGATATAAAATATGAATATATTTATCCTGATATAAACATATCTCATTTTATAAGGCCGGTGTTATTCTCATGCCCATATCAGTCAAAGACATTACAAGAAAAGAAAACTACAGAACAATATCCCTTAAAAATACACTGGCCAATCAAATCCAGCCAAATATAAAAATGATCATGCATCATAATTAAGGGGAACTTGTCTCAGCAATGCAAGATTGGCTTAACATTTGAAAATCAATCAGTTTAATTCAACACATTGGCCGAATAAAGGAGAAAAATTATATGATTATTTTAATTTAAAAAAGCATTGATAAAATTTGACACTTACCCTTAGTAAAAAGTCTCAGGAAACTAGGAATAGAAGGGAACTTTTTCTACCTCATGAAGGGCATCTATGAAAAACCTACAGCCAAAATCATAATGATGAAAGAGTGAATGCTTTACTCCTGAGATCAGGAACACTGCAAAGAAGTTTGCTCTCTACACCTCTGTTCTACATTATACTGAAGTGCAATATGGCAAGAAAAATAAATAAATGACATACATGTTGGAAATTTAAAAATATACACAGAAAAGTCCAAAGGAATTTACCAAAGAGCTACCAGAATAAATGAATTTAGCAAGGTTATAGGATACAAAGTCTATTTACAAAAATGAATTGCATTTCTATATACTAGCAATGAACACTTAGAAATCGAAATTTAAAGACAATATACTCCATCATAGCATTGAAAATGAAATACTTAGGAATAAATTTCACAAAATATATGCAAGATTGTACAATGAAAACTAAATAAATGAAATATACTATGTTCATGGAATGGAAGACTCAACATCGTTAAGATGTCAATTCTTCCCAAATTGATCTATAGACTCAACACAACATCAGTCAAAATTCTTGCAGGCTTTTTTGCAGAAATTGACAGGCTGATTCTAAAATGTATTTGGAAATACAAAAGACCTAGAATAGCCAAAGGAATTTTGAGAAAGAACAAAGAGGGCTCATATACTTGATTTCAAGACTCACTATAAAGATACAGTAACCAAGACTATAGTATTGGCATAAGGATAGATACATAGCAATGCAAAAGAATATAGAGTTCAGAAATAAACTCACACAAACATGGTCAATGATTTGCTGACAAAGGTGACATGGTAACCCAAAGGGGAAAGGATATTCTTTTCAACAAATCACGCTGGAACAACTGTATATCCATATGCAAACAAATGAGCCTAACCCTCATCCCTCACGATACACAAAAATTAACTTGCAATAAATAGGTCATAGACTCAAATGAAATAGCAAACACTATAAAACTTCTAGAAGAAAACGTAGGAGAAAAATCTTTGTGACCTGTGTTAGGCAAAGCTTTTTTAGATAAGACACCAACAGCACTATCCATAAAAGAAAAATATTGATAAATCAGATTTCATCAAAATTTTAAATGTCTCCTCTTTGAAAGATACTGTTAAGAAAATAAAAAGGCAAATAACAGACTGGGAGGAAATATTCACAATATTCACAAGGATCTAGACACAAAGAACTCATACAACAAAAAGTGGACAAAAGATCTGAATAGATACTTTACAGAGAGATATATTAATGGTCATATGAAAAGATGCTCAACATCTTTAGTCATCAGAAAAATATAAATTAAAACCACAATGAGGTATCGCTACATACCTACTAAAATGGCTAAAATGAGAAAGACCGATGATACCAAGTGTTGACTAGGATTTGAAGTAACTGGAACTCTCATACATTGCTGGTATGAGGGGGAAAGGGTACAACCACTTTGGAAAACAGTTTGGCAGTTTCTTATAAAGTTCAAGATATACACTTATCACACGATCCAGTAATTCTACTCCTAAAGAAATACAAACAAATGTCCATAAAAAGACTCTACACACATGTTCATAACAGCTTTATTCATAATAGCTCCAAACTGGAAACAACCCCAATTCCGTAAACGTGTGAATGGAAAAACAAATTGTGGCATAGTCACACAATGACATAGTACTCAGCAACGAAAAGGAATGAATTACTGATACAATAATATGCGTGAATCTCAAAAACATTAGAGTACGTGACAGCAGCTAGACACAAAAGACTACAAGCTGCATGATTCCATTTACAAGAATATCTAAAATAGGTAAAACCCTCCTCTAATAACAGAAACCAGATCAGTGTTTTCCTGGGGTGGTGGTTGTTGGGGATGGGGACTGCCTGCAAAGAGGCAGGAGGAAAATATTTTTGAGTGATGAGAATAGTCTATGTCTTGATTAGGAGGGAGGTTACATAAGCAGATATATTTGTAAAAAACTCAGGGAAATGGCTGCTTTTTATTGTATACAGAGCTGATTTTTAAAAGAGGAAATACAGAAGAGAAAACATGATTGTCAACTGATTGGTCCACGATCATACAAAAATATATTAGACCCTATTAAAATTTAACTACAATGAGATACCATTTTATACTCACCATTTTGGCAAACGTATAAAAAGTCTGAAAATATCAAGAATTCATGAGGGTGTAGGTCAATGTGGGAGCGCAAATTAGAGCATCCACTTTGGAAAATAATTTGGCACTACCTAGAAAGTTGAAAATGTACCTACCCTACCACTCAGCAACTGTGCTTCTGTGTACATTCCCCAAAGGAACTTTGTGCATACACACAAAAATATTGGGAGCACCTTTGTAATAGTTTGTGATAGTAAAAACTGGAAGCTATTTTAAGCATCTAACATAAAGAGAACATGTGTAAACTGCAGTATAATTGTGTACTAGGATGCTACACAGCAGTGAACCTGGCTGCATTACTACAATTACTGGTTGCACTACATACAACATGCATGTCACCAATATTAAGCAATAAAAAGAGCAAGTCACAGAAGTATATATACAGTATATTCTAGGTCTTATAGTTTGAAATCAAGCAAAACATTAAAAATAATATACAAATATATGAGGCAAAACTAAAAGAAAAGCGAAACAAGACAAACTCAAAGTTCAGTATAGCAGTTTTCTCTGAGAGAGAGGGAGATGGAATGAGACCAGGCAAAAAATGAGCTTCAAAGTTATGACGTCATTTTTCTTACACTAAGTGGTAAGTATATGAAGGTTCAACTTGTCAGTAATCTCTAAACCACACATGTACTTTATATGTACTCGTCTGTATGCAGAGATATTTCATAATAAAAATTTTAAAGGAATTTTTTTAAAGGCAAATATTGTCACATTGGGCTAAACACTATAATTCAACCATATGTCTCACACAACAGACACACCAAAAACAAAATAACACAGAAAGGTTAAAAATAAAGGGATGGGAAAAATTATACCAGACAAACACAAACAAAAAAAGACACGAGTAACGATGCTAATGTAAGATAAACTAAAACTCAAGGCAAAAAACACAAATAACTTAGAGTGTTCTTTTATACATAGATATATGTAATCCATGATGGAAATATTATCAGCCGCAAACCATAATGAGATAAATAGCATAGCCTCAAAATATACAAAGCAAATAATGACAGAAATAACCAAAGAAAGTGACTGAGGCATAATTTTTTATTTTATTTTTTGTTTTTAATTTCATACAGTAAAATTAAATCTTCTGGGTGAACAGTTTTATGAGTTTTGACAAATGCATAAAATCGTGTAACCACCACCACAATCAAGGTACAGAACAGTTCTGTCACCCTCAAAAATGCCCTCCTGCTGCCCCTTTGTAGTCAAATGCTCCCCACACCCCCCGTCTCTGGAAACTCTTTGATCTGTTCTCCATCCTTACAGTTTTGTCTTTCTAGAATGTCATACAAATGGAATCATACCATCTTTGGAGTCTGACGCCTTTCACTCAGCATAATGCCTCTGAGATTCTTCTGAGTGTTGTACGTATCAACAGTTCATTCTATTTCATTGTTACATAGCATTCAATCGTCTGGATGTACCACAACTGCTTATCATTCACCCAATGAAGGGCTTTCGGGGGGTCCAGTTTGGGGAATTATGAATAATGTTATTATAAACATTTCTGTACTGGATTTGCGTGAACATAAATTTTCATGTCTCTTGGTTAAACGCCCAGGAACTGCTAGGTCATATGGTTAAGTGCACATTTAACTTTATAAGAAAGTGTCCAACTTCTTTTCCAAAATGGTTGCGCTATTTTGCATTTCCAAACAGTAATGGAGCAAAGTTCTTGTTGCTTTGCATCTTCACCCGCATTTGGTATTTGAAGCATAATCTTAACACATCACTATCAATCAACGTCAGTGCATACATTCCCAATCAAGTATAAAATATACAGAGATTTGGACAATATAATCACAACACAACTAAGGCTGAATTAATATATATTTCATGTCTATATTTGCACCTGATACTGAAAACATCTTCATTTCAAGAATCTATGGAATATTTATAAAAATAGGTCATATTCTAGGCCATGAAGAAAATGTTAATACCTTTCCCAATGCAGAAACTGTACCACAGTGTAATAAATGTTGACATTAATAACAAAGTTTAAATAATAATAAAAATAAGCATAGAAGTTACAAAACACTTGCCAAAACAATTACTGCTTTGGACAAAAGAGGAATTTTTAAATTTAACTAAAAACTATGTAGAAAATAATGAAAATAAGAGACAACCACAAACTCATAGGTTGAAATGGTTTCTTTATTACAAAAAACAATACATTTTTCTTATTAAGAAGAAAAAAGGGAAAGAATCCCCAAGGGAAACATACGAAGGAAATAAAAGATAAGCAGAGATTGTGATTGCTTACTGTTCCCTCTCCCGGTAAATCAAGCTCTTACAGGGCAGAGCCACATTCCTATCCGCTAGTGAAAAGTGTGCCTGGCTCAGAGTATGAACCCAATACTTACAAGCACTTTTCGCTTTCTCTAAGTTAGGCCTTCTCTCCTTTGGGCTTCCACAGTAGGCTATTCATAGCTCTATTTTAGCATTTATCAAAGTACTGCGATCACGTAAGTTTTCCACATCACACAAACCCTTTAGAAACAACTATTTGTTTACCACTCAGAATGTGCCAAGCGATTGACATTCATTCATTTAATCCTTACAACTTTTTTAGATATTCCTATTTTTCAGAAATTGACGCTCAGAAAGGTTAAGTGATCACGGTCATAGATGGAATTCATCACAAATACAGGATTTGGTTGCACATCGGATTACTTTCAAACACAAGCTCTTTCCATCAGAAGAGGTTACTTCGAACTCAGGGGCAAGGTTAATTTTGTTCACTTTTATATCCTCAGCTCCTAGCCTAAGCTCCTGACACAGAATATCTTAAACAAGGTAGGCATTACTTGCGTCCTGCTGTTTATGAAATTTTGTTCTGTGTACTGGAAAGAAATGCACTAAACTCAAGCCGGCAATAGAGATTTGGAAAAACACGCAAGGCACTGTACGACTCTCAGTCGTTCCTAGAGTCCCATCTCTATGGTTAGCAATGTGACCGCTCTATAGCCTGGAGGACTCAGAGAGCACGGCCAATCATTAGGCCACTTTACAGGCACGTGGCCGGAAGTTCGACTTGCTATTGGTTAATAGCGATAAAGCCCGCCCAACCACATCCTGCCTACGCCTTTAAGTAGGAGCCGGGCGCGTCGTCCCGCCTTTCGGAGACTGTGAAGCCGGAAAGGTGAGGTTGTGGTTCTTCTGGGTCGTGGTGGGTCGCTCCTCAGGGTTGGAAGCTGGGTGTGGGGCGGGCGGCCAGCGGTGATGACATCCCAATCAAAGCACGTGTTAGACTGCTGACGCGGGTGATGCGAACTGGAATCTGAGCCGGGCCGCCGCCGCGGCGGGGAGAGACCGGGGCTGCGGGGGCACATCCGCTCAGCCACCTCTCGTTCTTGCAGATCCCGGCCGGACTGAGGACGTCGGATATCACTGTTTTCTCAGCCCTTGGACCTTCCCCCAAAGCTTCTCAATAAAATGGTTTGATCCCATCGCTGGTGTGTTTCTTGTCGTGACGCGCTGCCTTTGAGCCCCTGCTGCGCCTGCACGTGGCGCCGGGGGTCAGGCTGCGGCGCCAGAGTACGCGCTTGCGCATAACTGGGGCCGCCTCCCGCTCGCCGGCGGCCCTTTTAACCGCGAGCGACAAGGCGGCACTGGGTGCCAGGAGCGGGAGGTTTGCCCGGGATTTCCCTGGAAGCTTTGACTACGATCTCTTGGTTAGTGAGACATGACGTGCAGATTCAGTTAACTGCGGCCCGGATAGCCTCCGCCGGGAGCGGAGATGAGAATCCGGCTGCGGCCTCGCGTAGTTTAAGGGCCGTGGTGTACTTCCCAGGAACTGGCTTCGGTCTTGAGCTGCATGAACTTACCTGGCTAAGGTGCGGTCGCAACCTATTTAGAGAAACTACCATTTAGGCCCAACTGCTTACGTGGATACTGTGTGCTAAGCTTGAGGCAAATTAATGTGTCCTTCGCCTAAACAGCTCACAGTAACAGTAGGTGTGAAGATGATTTCATGCATGCTGGGCACAACATAGGCTCCTACAGAAAGGCAGGATCCTTCGTGATCCAGATTCTAGGTGATTAATTTCTCACCTAGGCTTAGGCGAAATGTGCATCTGTTTTGAGTACAGGCAGCACTGTTGAAGGGCAAGGATGCACAAGTGCGGTGCCTAAACTGCTTTGGCGTTTAATAACTAGAGGGCCCCCCAAGTTAACGGGTCTACTAGGCAATTAAAGGTGTAAGCTCCAGCTCAAGAGGGGGACTGTCCCCCTTAGGTTTTTTATTGGGGGTTTAAGACCTTATCCATCTGTTGAGGACGAGGCCTACCTTGGATTCTTAGAAGAGGACTGGCCCATTTACCACCCGGGAAAATGAAGCCGCTTTTGGCAGCTGAGGGCCCCAGTGAGAGCCCTGTACCCATTGTTTATTCTGTCTCTATTATCTAAACAGGATTCAGCAGAAATAACTTGGATGCTTATCTAGTATTTGATGAGATTATTTATTTTGTGAAACAACACAAGCGATTGTAAATCCCCACAACTATTTGATGAGTGCAATAGGATACAGTCATGTGTAATCTCTTTACACAGTAGTGCATCTAGTCCTTTGCTTTTAGTTATTGCACAAAAATTATAAAGACCATTGAACAAGACATGCGGACTGAGGCAAATCGGCCTACACAATGAGAAATTAACAGTACACCAACTGGAATGGTCAAATAATTCAAATCAAATGTTTTAATGGTGCAATTAAAGTAATCAAGTAAGGGTTCAAATATATTTCTTCAATATATTAATTTCTTTAAAGTCATGTTCAGGCAAGGTGCTGTTTAAAAAACCACTATTAGCTTTGTCCACAGATGTAAGTTATCAAAAGTTACCCAAGGTAATTTTGATGCCGAATGCAGATTTAAACAATAAAAAATTGTGTATTTTACGTGTACTTCTCAAAGCAAATTTTACAATTAGAGGCTCCAAACTTGTAAACCAAACATTCTGACACAAATGCACAAAATAAGTTGGCAATATTAAAGAAGGTCACATTAATTTTGAGATATGTAGTGTCATGTTGAGCAAACCTGTTCTTGATTCTTAATGATCATTAGAGAGCAGCTCTCCCTCCCTTTTGGCCATCAGAGAAGGAAACTGCTCACAAAACATCCCAAACCAGTTAGATTAACAAAGCATTTAGATGCCTATATAAAGCTTTCCGGAGCACAGAAAGTGCCAGACGGAAGGATGGTGGCTTTGGCTTTCTGGCCCCACCCCAATCTAGTCATGTGCCACGTCTGACATTTTCACATATGCTTGTGTCTCGGGAAAACATTTGGGATTGATTAGTAGCCAGATGATTGTACTTTTTTGTTAAAAGGCTTGGGATGGTTTGATCTCATGGCTTTGCCTAATGTTCACATAGATCCCACCGTCCCCACCCCAGCTGATAGTGTGTTAGGGCGTCTGAGTTCTATGGCTACTTGCTTCCTAAATGCACAATTTTAATATGGAAAGTTGCTATGCATACACATATCTCTTTATCACCAATGAAATGGTTCACAAAATTCCACTCCACGTGTTACTGAATTGAGATTTTCTGAAGTGTGGAGGGCTGCATCACAAACTAGAAGTGAGAAAACATTCCACTGTGCACTGGATGCCTGAGGAAAAGCTTTGGAGGTGAGGAGGCAACGGGAAGCCTTCCAGTTGCACAGCTTTGCTCTTTTGTTCTCTTGCTGCCACAAAAACTGGTAGACCCAAAAAAGCCATGGTGTGATCGACCTGTAACCTCTGGTTCCACCGTGATGCTGCATCCACAGTCTCCTTTGCTGAGTCAAAGCTTGGCAGCAGACAATCCAGACACCTCACTGGTCCAGTGGAATGACACCTCACAGTGGAATGGGCCATGGCAGGCAGAGGGTAGAGCTGTGGCACAAGGAAAGGTGAGTGCTACAGCACAGATGGCAGCCGAGAACCCCACATCTTGAGTGAGATCTAATGCCGGAAACATTTTCACCCTTCACAGCTGATCAGCAGCCTCCACAAGTGGGTCTTTCAGGAGGCAGGCAGTGGAGCGAGGGTCCATGGCTGAGTGCATTATAGGGATATAAACATCATCCATGTTTGGCATGACAAAAACTTTCTGTAGAAAGATATTAAAGAATAGCCATGTGGGAGAATGCCTTGTTTACTCAGGCCGTCACCCTACTCTGTTTTGATAATAATTTTAGACAAGTTTTTAAAATACATATAAAACAACTTTTCCTACACAGTCCAAACTAATTCCTCCACCTTCAGAAAGCTGAGGAACCGCATCAGTGCATGAACACGAGAGCCCAGTAAGCCAGCTCTGCGGCAGAAGCGGCCTTGGATTTCATGGACATGGAGTGAAATCACTCGTGAATTGATAAATAAGATTGTTTTAAGAGAATTGGCTTAAGCTGCTCATAGTATTTCCAAATTACTATGTCCAGAACACATATTCCAAGTGAGTTTATCCATTTAAATCTGAGCAACAAAATGTAAGCTAATCTTTTTTCAAATATATAAAAGAAATCCCACTATAGTGAACACCCAAAGGACCATGAGTGAGTCACAGTAATGATGCTTTGCCGATCGTGTTTATAAACTAATTTTATATGAGTGAATTTTGGCAATGCATTCAATCTTCAGTAATGCCTTCTTAGAAAAGCATAAATAAGGGGCCATCCCTGTGGTCAAGTGGCTGGGTTCGCCGGTTTGGATCCTGCGTGTGGACATGACACCGCTCGTCAAGCCACGCTGAGGTGGCATCCCATGTGCCACAACTGGGAGGACCCACAACTATGTACTGGGGGGATTTGGGAGAAAAAGGAAAAATAAAATCTTTAAAAAGAGCATAAATGAAAACAAAAACAGGTGGCTATGGGAAGATGCAGCAGTTACCCTCTAACTTCCCAATTTACCTCAAAAATACCAGGCACCAATCTCTGCTCCCTCATCCCTTCTTTCACTCCTTGTACCCCAATACCCATAAGGGATGACCTGCTCAAATTCCTAATGTAGGATCTAGGGAAAAGGAAAAATACTGAAGGTGTAACATTGTTTTTCCTAAGTTCAAAGTACTTTCCTATTTGGTGATAATATTACACTTTCCAGAAACTGTTTTTCAGTTACAGTTAATCTATAGCCTTTTTTTTTTTTTTGGCTGAGGAAGATTCCCCCTGAGCTAATATCTGTTGCCAGTCTTCCTCCATTGTATATGTGGGTCACTGCCATAGTATGGCTGACAAGTGGTGTAGCTCCACCCCTGGGATCTAAACCAGCAAACTCAAGCTGCTGAAGCTGAATACACCAAATTTAACCACTAGGCCATGGGGCCAGCCCAATCTATAGCTCTTAATAATAAAAATAAAATTTTTTAAAAGCAATAAACTCAAAATATACCCCTGCAAAAATAATATGGATCTTCAAAAGGTGAAATTCATTACAAAATAAATAAATAGTTTGCTAATCCATAAAACCTTGAAAGACAGCAGTGCCTCAAAAGCTGGCCTGGTGGTACAGTGGTTAAGTTTGTGCACTCCACTTCAGTGGCTGGGAATTTGCTGGTTTGGATCCTGGGTGCGGACCTATACACCACTCATCAAGCCATGCTGAGGTGGTGTCCCACATACAAAATAGAGAAAGATTAGCACAGATGTTAGCTCAGCAACAATCTTCCTCAAGCAAAAAGAGGAAGATTGGCCACAGATGTTAGCTCAGGGCCAATCTTCCTCACCAACAAAAAAAACAGCTGATAAAAATTTGATAGGAATAGCTCATCCCAGGGCCTCAGCGACAACGCTATCACCTTAGTGGCAGAAAACAGGCTTGGAGAATGAGCTCTGGCTTAGTAACCCACCTTTGGGGTTTCTTATGAAGACTACTGAACAGAGTTCTGTGGATGAGTTTCAGGGTTTTTTGTTTTTGTTTTGCTGAGGAAGATTTCCCCTGAGCTAACATCCACTGTTAATCTTCCTCTTTTCATATGTGAGCCACTGCCACAGCATGGCCACTGACAGACAAGTGGTGTAGGTCCAACCCAGGGAACCAAACCCAGACTGCTGAAGTGGAGTGTGCTGAACTTAGCCACTGGCCCTCGGGTTTTTTTTTTTTTTTTAAAGATTGGCACCTGAGCTACAACTGTTGCCAATCTTTTTTTGTTTTTTTTCCTTTTTCTCCCCAAATCCCCCCAGTACATAGTTGTATATTTTAGTTGTGTGTCCTTCTAGTTGTGGTATGTGGGGTGCTGCCTCAGCATGGCCTGATGAGTGGTGCCATGTCCGCACCCAGGATCCAAACTGGCGAAACCCTGAGCCATTGAAGCAGAACGTGCAAACTTAACCACTCAGCCACGGGACCAGCCTCTCTCAGGGTTTTTTGAGAGCTTGTTTGGAGGTTCTAGCAGAGGAACGCAGCTACTCATATACCATTGACCAAAGAACAGTCCTCCTCTATTAGGGAAGGTCATCCTC